AAAATTGTGTGTAAATAATGGAATTCAGTACAAGTGATAGAATCTTTTAACAGTTATATGTTATAAAGTTATATGTTTGAACCCTGTTTATTATTAAATTAGCATTATGTTAAATACAGTCGTTTAGATAATTAATCGGGAAGTTTGTAGGTGGCCATCCTTCAAAAACAATAATGCAGCAGGAAGCTGAGCTACGATTTCCTTTCGGTAGCTTTTTAAGAGAAACAGGAAAACGATTCCCAAAGTTGGGATACATTTCAACAAATTCACCACATGTATATTCGAAGTAACCGATATTGTGTATACTTAAAGTTGTCAGCCATCTCAAAGGCCAAAAAAAGCAATACAGAGAAATAAAGACGCTGTCAACTAGTCCACGTGAACTGAAAAATTGGCGGTTCATATTGGATAATTTTTACTAACTGAGTTTTAAGATTGGCTGAAGAGTGATAAAATTGAATTTGAAGTCATGTTACTGTGACGAATATAATGCGAGGATGGTTATAGCAGTCGTGTTGTCAATGTTCAGTTCAGGAACTGATCGCGATTTGAGAGTTTAAATTCGATATTGGTGCAGTTATAGTTACTTAAAATTTTTGTTATATGTTTAAAATGTGGCGTCCTTGGACAAGTACCAATAGTAATAACGAGTGTGATATCAACGCAGACTTTTTTCTGTATAGTGATTCCAATAGCGATGGTGAACAATGCGAAAAAGAGATACCGGTGAATAAAATTCGGATACATTTTAATATTCAAACACAGAGAGTATGTTTCAATATATATAAGAATCTACACCTCAAGTTTGGTTTCAAGGGTAACAAAACGATCACAAGCAACATAAGATTTGACCGAAATTCCTTTCCCAACTGTCCGTAAAATAGTCAAAAACAAACAAAGCCTATTGGGCATCGTCAGTACCGGGCAGGCAGTCCTCGATTGAAGACAAAATGAGAAAAAACCAAGAAAGTAGTTGATAAAAATAGCTGCGTAAACGCAAGCGAAACTTAAGTGGAACCATCTATTGGTGTGACACTCAAGTCAACTTGGTGGTTTCAAGAGGTTTCGCGTATTTTTTACTTTTCAGTCTCTGGGTGCAGTTTTGAATTTTTTAAACGGAGAACCCTGTATATGTTGACATTGTCTAAATTGTGTATCATTATGCGATATTTTTTTAAAGTTATTACGATCATGTGGGCATGACTGGACGTAAAAGGACTTCAGATGATGCCAGAAAATTCCCATCGAAAACTTTGTATATTAGTATGATAGATAGGAATGAAACGAATTATCAGAATTAAATTTTCTTGTATATAACTTTTATTTTTCGAGTAGCTACCAGTTTCTGATAAACGCTTTTCGAAAAATAATTGATTGGCGAATCTAAAGAAGGATTTCCACCAAACGGTCTTTTGCGACTAGTTTTGTTTACAAAAACAGAAACAAAAAACTTGTTTCAGATTTGAAAACAAACTCGAAACTCCAATTCCACCAAACAGGCAAAAAATTAGTCTGGGTCCCGTGTTTTGTTGTGAAATGTTTTCTGTCGTTTTCACTACTCGAACAGTTTTCATCGTATCTTCTCTAGAAAATGTTTTTGTAATGGGCTGCGATTTTTTATAATCAAATCTTTTGAGCGGAAGGAGCGAAAACAAGATACTAGATGGAATCACTGTTAAAAAGACGAATAGATTATGAAACGGATGAAATCATGGCAGATTTGATGAATGGTGACATAGGAATAAATGAAACTGAGATCATAGTTTCTTCATTTTCTAGGAATGTCCAATAATGACTTTAAGAACTTGTTGAATGTACTGAGACTAAAAAATTTCAAACAGAATAAAAATTAGAGATATGTCATATCTGAATACTTGCTTGTTGCTGTCACCGACCGTTTTCACATAGCGAACTCTGTTTACAAAAACACAGACAAAACACCGAAACCTTTTGATCTTTCCGCCTCCCTATGGGACATTTCGTTATTGACAAAAACAGTCGCCCGCTACTCAAAGTCTTCAAAATGTTTCTCACTTTGACAACTCAAGTTTTTTTGTTGAAATCGACTCAGTAGTGGCTGTTTTGTTGTGGTTTTTTCCGTTTGGTGGAAATCCGCCTTGCATGAAAATAAGAATATGAATTGAATATCATTGAGGAAAATAATGGATAATAATTTATTCATCATAAATGCAGAGATTGCGATTATCATTATTGCTGTGGCGAAATAAAAGCTGTTTTACACGTACCTATGCGGTTTCGGTCGACGCCGACAAGTAGGTATGAACAGTAATTTGGAATATATTCAAAAATAAGTACCAGCGGCATCTCGTCAGAGGAGGCAAGGGAGGCTTAGCCTCCCCATAAAATTTGAGGCTATTCATCGCAATAAATTAAAAGATATTGACAAATGATTATGATTATTTTTTCCAAAAATGCTTGGGTATCATTACTTTTTCATTAATTTTTAATATAAATACATAATATGCCCGACGGTAAGTATTTTTTTTTTCATTTTTTATGGATAAGTTGGACGAAATTAAAAAATCTGACGATATAGTCGATTGGTTGCTGACAAATAATTTTAAGTCTTTATCTTATGATAATAAATTTTACATTATTAAAACTCTGGGAAGGCCTCAACCAAATTTGATTTCAATTAAATCGTCAAATATTCGACAAAATCGTGGATTTAATATTAGTTGGTACGACAAATGCGATTGGTTAACCGGCTCCAATAAACGAGAAAAACTTTTTTGTTGGTCCTGTGTTTTATTTTCCGTACAAACCGAATACCAAATGTGGTCTAAAATAGGTTACTCCGATTTAAAAATTTTACCTCGTGTTATGGGGCAAATATGATTCACAATTTGGCACATTTTTAAACGGTAGCGTTTTTTCGGGCACCTCAAAAACCATCCAAAATGAGCTTATTATAGACAGTGTTGGCAGTGTTTCTTTTTTTGCATGGGAAATTGATGAAATTACCGATATTACCTGTACATCACAACTTTCAATCGTTTTCAGACATGTCAAAGATGATAATGTGGTAGAACATTTTATGGGTTTTCATGATGTTTCATCTGGGCGCATAGCTGACGATTTGTTTAATTTTTGTATTCGTACGTGTGACACCCATAATGTTAATGTGTGTATAGTCTATATGACTAAAGACTCCCCTGTACTCCAATGCACGAGCTGTCACTGATAAGTACCTACTGATTCCAAACATCACAACTGAAACGCGCGTCGGGAAGAATGTTACAGTTCTGGTGTTTGGGAACAGTGCTTGTTTTGGATTCATTCTAGAAGTTCCACTTCTACTTTTCATTTCGGTTTCTGTTCTATTCTGAGTCATCTGACAGCAATCACGTAATAACCAGGTGTAACAGGCTATTTTTCTTACCCTTTAGGATTTCTTAATGTCTAAAAAATAATAAAACTAATGATTTTCTACAACTTTATTAGTGTTTGGTGTATAAAAAATATGGTAGTTTTTCTTCTATAATGAAAATTAGGATTTCCACATAATAATCCCGCCAAAAGGTTGGTAATAGAAGAGAAGGACAGTTCTTTTGTAGCACAGCCCGACTAAAGGTAGTAGTGCAAAAGTATCAACTTATTTCTTGAGAACCCTTCTTTTCGCTGGAGATTTCGAATTTTTTATTTGAAATAAGGCAATCAAGATTCCTATAAAATATAGAAGAGAAATAGCCTTCTTCTGCTAATAAAATTGCAGCCTGTCAATTGGTTTCACTACACCTTTATTTATTGTGAAGAACAACCATTATACAGTTCCAGCAAATATGAGTTCAGCTTATGGTCTAAGATGGTCCTAATAGCATACATGCCATCTTACATCAACTGTGAGAACTATTGTAGAAATAACAAGAGTAATCTATATAATTCATTTACGCTTCTACGTGAGGTCTATAGATGGTGGTATTAACAAAAGGTGCGTTTTATTGTTACTAATCTTATTCCAGATTGCCGTCAATAGTGTTTCTCTATCAGGTTTTTTGATTTGCGTTCATTTACAAGAAATTATCGCTTTTGGCTTTCTAGTACTCCATCTAAAAATATAACCCTTTCAATTCAAATTATCGCTCTTCTGATGCATTTCTCAGGTTGCGCATTGCGTGCTATTGAAGTTTGATGGAAATATATGAGTAATTTTATATAAATTACCGAAATGTGAAGTGAAATTATGGCAAAATATCAGTTGTTTCTAATTTCAAAATCTTATTTCATTCTCCCAGAACGAAATCTAAGGCTCAATCTAGAACACAACTACTGACTGACCAATTAGGTATCTTTGTGCTCATATGTAAATCCTCAAAATCTACTTTTTTCAAAAAATTGGAAAATAATTTGAGATATCAAAACAAATCTATTTACAATTGATATCTGACAACAAAACTTTATATTCAAACTTGAAAATGTTCTGGAGCTACTTCTCTTTCTGACATTTTCTGTTTTGCAGCACCTCACGTCCGTTATACATTATATTTAGGCGAGATTCCAAATTCATATGAATATATTAACAACTACGGTGAAGTTTTTCTTCTAATATTCAATTCAAGTTCAATGGTTTCAAGGTTTTCTTAAATTTTTTCCAAATTGAAGTTATTGAAAAGTGAAAACCTCAGAAGTTTCATTTACGTATTGAAATTAGGATGAAGCTTCAGTTGTCCATTCCCTGTTTTATAACGTCACTGAAGAAGTAATTAGAATACTCCCTTAATCGCTACAGCGCGAATATGTAGCGAGACCTGAAATAAATTTTTCGGTAGATCAACGGGATCCCGGCAACAAATAATTTAAATAATATCTGGCAGAGAGACAGTGCAAATAATTTTTGGCGGGATTGACTCAATCTGGAATAAGGTTAGTGCCAACAAAACACACCTATAGAAGTTTCTCGAAAAAAGAAGAGAAAGAACTTGCAAAAATAAACATAACCTCGTCATAACAAACTTGAAGCACAGCACAGGTTCTTGAAGTCTTGAATTATCTAAATCATTATATTTATAAAAACTTCGTTAATATGTTTTTATTGAAGAAATCTGATAGAATAATCCAAAATAGCTTAAGACACTACAATAAAATAATTCCAAGGAAAACTAATCCTGGAATACAGAGGCGAAGAAATATCTTAGCTCACGACCTGGATGCTAAGGAGGAGGAAGACTTGGATTTTGAAGGGCTAGAATCGGATTTCATGAGCGTCCACCAAACGCACAGAGCACACGTCGAAGAAATGGAAAGAATGGAGGAACAAAAAAAATACTTCATAGTCAGACAAAAGTACTTCAACGAAAAGAAAATGAATTTTTTAACTTGGCATGATAAAGAGCAAATGAAATACCTGTATGCTACTGATCCTGAAAAATGGACAATCGAAAAACTGTCTGAAAGTTTTCCTGCATTGCCAGATACTGTAATAGTAAGTTTTGATAATTTCCAGTGACTATTCTGGTGGAATATTTGCAATAGTCATAGTTGATTCCTTTGAAATTGGCCACTTCCCTACCTTCCTCTCAAAACATTTGTGGTTTTTCTCCTATACAAGGGCAAGCATTATGAATAATTCTTGAACTTCCGTTAAATATATGGTGAGTTCGATACCCACCTCGATCATATATCTTTCTCGAGATAATTTATTTAGTTGAAGTTGAAATGATTCTTCAACGTTACATGGCTGACAGACTGTGAATAGCCATGATGCTCCTTAGGTGGCCCAAGGAGTTATTAACATTGCCTCACCAGAACACAAGACCAATGACCAGAGTAGTTGATGATTTTGTCTCATTATCATCTCTGCAGTTGAAAACAGTGGTGTTTCTTAGGGGCACATTCTCGATCTTCTCATGTTTCTTTTGTGTATGAATGATCTTCTAAAGTAGTTGTATTTGGGGGTAAAGTAGATTATTCTGTAGGTAAAACTGTTTACTACTCTCATGCAATGGAGACAAAAATGCAGACGATTTGAAAAAAATAAAACTTCCTATTTTGGATTTCACCCTAGGTAAGAACACAATAATGTTCAAAGGAATTGACCTATTTAATCACTTGCTAACAAATTAAGGTGGATAATGTATTCACAAAAGCTGTTTGTTTTTTTTCGAAATGGTACACCTCTTTTTCTCAAACACTCCATTTATAATTTGAATCATTACCGAACCATCATTTATACTTCACAAACTTTCATTGTCTAGTAAGATATTCAAAAATTTTCAGAAGAATAGCCATATTGTAGCAAAACATAAACTCGGGCCTATAGAGAAAACCTTGAAAATTGTAGAGGGATACGAACTTGGTATGTATTACCATGATTTCTGAAGCTTGTCTGAAAATTATTACTGTGAAATAATAAGGTTTCATGTCAGGGTGATCCACAGTAAATAATTTGTTGTCCTATCAAAACAGTATCATTTACCTTTTGAGGTGTCTAAATAGGCCAATTGAAAGCTTCTGGATTAGGATTCCATAAACTGAAATGGATTGAATAGATTTCAATGTTTTCAGAACAAAAACTTAATATCTTCCTCAGGTGTTCTGCAAGGTTCTCATTGAGCCCCCTGCTATTCAACTTGTTTGTCAGTGACATCACTGATCATCTTGTGAACACAAATTGTCTAATATTTGCAGACCATTTGAAAATGTATAGAATCATAAGTTCATTACATGCCGATATCATTGTATATTTTACCCAATATTGCATAAACTGGAGCATTTCCGTTATCAATAAATAAATATTGAAGTGTCAGTTTATATAAGATATATAAGGTAACAAAATCTTTCATCAGATCTCGTAAAAATCTTCAGACAATAACAGAGTACCTTAGATTGTTTGATAAAAATATGACTCGTTGAAACTAATTCAATGAATCATTTACTTTTATTTTACAGATTCCCCATTTAGAGTTCAAATTACATTAAAGTACTTTTATTGTGAAATTATTGCTGTTATAAATTCAATGATTGCTTAAAAAAATTGTTGATGAATTATTTTTATACCACTGATTTTTTAGTCATAATGAATATTGTGATAGCTCAGATTTTTTCCAGAATTTTTACTTTGTGTTATTTTGTTCATTATGTTTTTGTCACAATTTCTTTACATTGTGATTTCACATCTGAACAAAAATGATATGTAATATGGTCAAATAAAAACAAAGTGAAACCTGAATCAGACCCTATATCTTTTGCAACTGAAAACAAAGCTTTTCATTTCAGAAAATCGTTGAAGCGAATTTCAAGAAGAGCGAGTCAAAAATTGCAAACCATGATGCTGCAGTTCAAAGAAACTGGGAAAGTTTCAAAAAAGGAGAATTTCCAGATTTACCAAAGGATCTAGTTGAGCATCTAAACAAATTTTCAAACAGAGCTTTGACTTTCAAGCGTTTCATAAAACCTACAAACAAAAACGAAATAACTGTTACGAAACAAAGCTCCCCTTCTGATTTCTCAGAAATAATAACAAGCTACAAAAAATTGAAGAACAAAAACAAAGAAATAGAAAGTGAAGTCGAAATAACCATGGAGGAACCCAAAAAGTTTCTGAAAGCCAGCCATGTAGACACCTTTCTCACAGTTCCTAAAAATGAAATGAAAGATAGAAGGGACGTTACCTTATCCCAGCTTCAGGATAATATCGAGCAGAAAGCATTGAAAGGAAGTCAACTTTCCGAGGACGAAAAACTCATACTAAATGACTTCAAAGAACCGAAAGAGCAGGTAGTAGCACCACTCATGTATCAGGAAGACTCTTTTGCACTTCAAAACAAATACAACACAGAGAGTGGGGGAGCAATTGCCACAAAAACTGTACGAGACTACTCTCACTTGATTTACCCAGAAAAGATACAAATCCCTAGTGATAAAGTCAAAAGGGGCTACACATATAGGCTGAATGATTGTTATTATGATTATGATGGAGAATTTTTGTATAGGGTTCCTGGAATGGGTTGAATAAAAATACATATATTTTTTGTTTTCATGTTTTCAAAAATGATCTGCATAAGCACCTCATTGTTGAAAGTTAAAAATACAGTTATTTCAACTCAAAACTACTTTCTCTGCAAGAAACTTGAAATTTTCTGGGTCATGTATTTAGTTTTATATATATATATATATACAGTATGTATTCTGGACGTCATTATCCTTTTCAATCTTGACAATAAACATTTGTCAAAATCCTCTTGGATCTTTTAACAATAAACATAATTATTATTACTTCTGATTTGTAAAAAAATTGGACTTTTGGATCAACCAGAATGTGATGTCTTGACTTTACCAGAGTATGATAAAGGCTAAAACTAAAATAATTTGTATATATTCCTGACTTGAGTGTTTATTTGTCAGTGTTTTTAATCTGCATACCAACTAGAAATATGGATTGTATGTTAATTTGAAATCAAATGATCTTAAATTTTCATTTGCTGCATTTGTAAGTTATTTATAGGGTAGATACTAC